GCCCACCTCTTTGCAACATGACCCAATCTGTGGATCCCGGCATTGCCTCTGGCTCTGGCAACCAGTGAGTGTATCTCAAGAGACCATATGACTTTCCTCCCCAGGAAGAATTTTGCAAGACAGACTAATCGTTTTATAAATTGTAACTTCTTACTACATAGCACTAAAGCAAGATTTGTTCCTGACACTCCAAAGAGAAAGATATACATTATGTTCTTTCTAGCTATAGATTGTTGGTGCACTCACTCCTGTAATCCCAGCAACTCAGGAAGCTAAGACGGGGATCTCAAGTTTGAGGCCAGCCTCAACAACTTATCGAGGTCTTGTCTCAAAAAAACTAAAATAAAAAGGGCTGGAGATGTAGCTCAACAAGGATGGAATTGTGGGGGGATAGTAGGGGATAGGAAAGGTAGCAGAATACAACAGTCACTTATATGCCATTAGGTAAAAATGTGAGTGTGTAACCGATGTGATTCTGCAATTTGTATTTGGGGTAAAAATGGGAGTTCATAACCCAATTGAGTCAAATGTATGAAAAATGAAATATCATGAGGTTTGTAATGTTTTGAACAACCAATAAAAAAAAGGATGGAATTGTTTTGGCAATTATTTTGTGGGGATTTTGGGGGAAATTAAAATGACTTTTTTTCCTTCAAAATATGAAATGGCAGCCAGACTATGTGGTTCAGGACCTTCAGGCCAGAATTTTCAAGGATGAGGAAGGAGAGAGGGAAGTGTCAAAAAGCCAGTGTAGTACATGACCAGACTCTTTCCCTCCATTCCAAATGAACCTGAATAGCATGACTAATCTGCCTGTCTCCCCAGTGACTCACAGGTTGTATGGCATCTGGTGACCCCCTAAAAATTACACATGCACCCAGCACTTTCAGCAGGACAGAAAACAATGCCTTACAAAACTTCAATAAGCCAGTTGTGGTGGCACATGTCTGTAATCCCAGAAACTCCTGAGGCAAGAGATACAAATTCAAAGTCAGCCTCAGCAATTTAACAAACCCTGTCTCAAAATAAAAAAATAAAAAGGACTGGAGATGTGGCTCAGTCGTTAAGCACCCTAGGTTCAATGCCTGTTACAAAAAAAAAAAAAAAAAAAGACTTTAGTGATAGACACCTTATAGGAAAGGACTAGAAGCTGGAGTCCTTCCTCTTTCAGACCTCCACAGTCCATGAAGTTTAGCTCCAATCTTGCACTGAAATAAGAATAGCCTGTTATTCATGAATTCAAGAAATATTCATTCAACATCTATTATGTCAGATATCTTTCTAAGACTTTACCAAGGCTTAAGATGATCTTAACTCATTTAATCCTCATTACAACCCCACAAGAAATTTATAGATGGATAACTGAAGCTCAAAGGCTAACACACTCTTCGTTAGGCTAACAAGTGACTGAGCCAAGATTCAAACTCAGGCAGCCTAGTAGGTGTTGTGTCTAATAACACTACTGTTAACTATTCTATATTGCTCCTTTTATTTAAAATTAATATCTAGAACCTGGTGTGGTGGTACACACCTATAATCCCAGCTACTCAGGAGACTTAGGCAAAAGGATCCCAAGTTTGAGATCAGCCTGAAAAATWTAGCAAGACCCTGTCTCAAAAAGAAATAAGAGGGCTAGGTGGTAAAGTGCTGGCCTAGCATGAGTGAGGCCCTGGGTTTGATTTTCAGCACCACATTAAAAACAAATAAACAAAAGTTAAATTCTTATAAAAAATAAGAATGTCTGTGATGTGTCTCAGTGATAGAGCACTAAACTAATATGCCTGAGGCCCTGGGTTTGATCCCCAGTACCAAAAAAAAAAAAAAAAAAAAAATTCAATATCCCTGCCTTACTAAATTTATATGCTAGTGAAGGAGAGGCAAGAAAGAACAGCTAATGCTGTCATCAGGTTTACAAATGTCATAAAAATAAAGATCAAACAGAGTCTGTGGAGGAGAGGTTAATATATATCGCCTGAAGGAAAAAAGCAAAACTAATTCAAAAATCTGAGGAAAATAACTATAGTGCTCTAATTAAAAAAAAAATCTAAGGAGGGGCTGGGGTATGGCTCAGTGGTAGAGCACTTGCCTAGCATGTGTGAGGTGCTGGGTTCGATTCTCAGCACCACAAATAAATAAATAAAATAAAAGTCCATTGACAACTAAAAAATATTTTTTAAAAAATGTAAGGAAAAGGTGTTCTAAGCAAAAGAACAGCAAAACCAAAAGCCGTGAAGTAACAAACTTTGTGTTTTAAGGGCATCAAGTGGATGGGTTAGAGCAGAGAGCAAAGGGATAAGAGTTTCTATTTGTCAGAGGTCAGATTATCTAGAGCCTTATAAGTCAGGGTAAGGACTGTGGGTTAAGTTGAACAGACGACTATGAAAAGTTCTGAGGTCCCTTTTGGAAGAGGAGCCATGTAATTTACATTTTTAAAAACAAATTCAGCTGCTGTAGAACATACTGAGATGAACCAAAGCAAATTATCAAGCCAGGCATGGTAAACAACTCCTGTCATCTCAGCAATTTGGGAGGCTGAGTCAGGATGGCAAGTTCAAGGCCAAACTGAGCAATTTAGCAAGATCCTGTCTTCAAATTGGGAAAAAAAAAAAAAAAAAAGGCTGGAAATGTAGCTCTGTGTTAGATTTCCCATGGGTTCAATTCTCAATACCCAAAACAACAAAACAAACAAAAAACCCATTATAAATTAGTAGTCGTGACAAATAGTATGGAACTGGAGATGGTGGTTATAGGAAGGACTAAATTCTGGTTGTCAGCCTAGGTGTCTGTCAGTGGATGAACAGATAAAGAAAATGTGGTATATAAGTGGGACACGGTGGTGCATGTCTATAATCCCAGTGAGTCCTGAGGCTGAGGCAGGAGGATTGCAAGTTCAAAGCCCACCTCAGCAACTTAGTGAGGCCCTGTCTCTAAATAAAAAATATAAAGGGCTGGGGATGTAGCTCAGTAGTTAAGCACCCCTGGTTTTAATCCCTGGTACCAAAAAGGGAAAATAAAGAAAATTTGATATACAAACACAACAGTTTTATCCAGCCATAAAAAGAATGATATTGTTATTTGCAGGAATATGGATGGAACTTGAGTACATTATTTATGTTGAGTGAAATAAGCCAAATTCAGAAGGTCAAAGTTCATGTTTTCTCTCATGTGGAAACTAGAAAGGAAAAAGTAGAAGGTAGGGGGAACCTCATGAAAATTGAGGAGCAATCAATAAAGGAAACAGGGAGGGGGAGGACAGGAGGTAGAGGAGAAAATTAGGGAATAATATTAGCCACATTATATTGTTATAGTGTGTGCATGTATGAATATGTAAACAGATCCACATTATGTAAAACTATAATGCACCAATAAAAAATATGGAAATAATCTGGTTTTGCTAGGAGCCATGGCACAGGCCTGTAATCCCAGCTACTTGGGAGGGTGAGGCAGGAGAATAGAAATTTCGAGGCCAGCCTCAGCAACTTAGTGAGGCTGTCTCAAAAAAATAAAAAGGGATGGGAATGTCGCTTAAAGGGAAAGCACTCTGGGTTCAATTCCCAGTACCAAAAAGAAAATAAAAATCTGGCTGCTTTTGTTTTTGTTTTGTTTTGTTTCTTTCAATAAGGCCAAATTGGACATGTTCAAAGATTTCATATTGGGGGTGAGACATCAAGATGACTAATTTTTACCTTAACCACTGGATCAAAATGGTGGTGCCTTCAGTTACTGATTGCTCCCCGCTTTACAATTATTTTTTGGTACCAGGGCCTGAACCCAAGGGGCATTGAATCACATCCCCAGCCCTTTGAGACAAAGTCTTGCTTAGTTGCTTAAAGCCTCACTAAATTGCTGAGGCCGTCTTTAAACCTACAATCCTCCTGCCTTAGCCTTCTGAGTCACTGGGATTACAAGAATGGGTCACCACCACTTATTTAAATTATCTGATAGACATGCTAGACTCCTCTTGCAGAAGACCCTTCATCATTATACATGCTGTTATTATCCTCAGAAATTGAGGAACTTGGGGGGTTAAACAACTGGCCTAAGATCATAGGACCAGAGAACTCCCACAATTAGAATTCATTTTAGTTTGAGTATCAAACTCCTCTCTACCAAAGAAAACTATAGTACCTATTTTGGTTGTTCTTCTACCATCCAGAGTGAGCCTCACCTATGGCAACCAGACTTTCCTTTTGGGTGCCTAGTGAAGAACTGAAGTGTCCTTAATAATTCCAATTCCTTTCTCATCTGTATAAAGCTGAATTTTTCACATGCATCAACCTAGGTAAGATTTAATAGACTGAATGAAAAATGAAAACCCAGCTGTCTTCTATTAAGAAATGCACAAGGACACAAACCTGCTACACTGAAGTTGGTCCTGGCTCTTCCATAGTTTTGTCTTCCAGAGCAGTTGTTTTTCATTTTATAGGTTATATTAGCCTATCTTGTTTTTGAATAAGTCAAGATCACTGCCTGATGATATCATACATCCTGTGGGGTTTTGTTTCACAGCTGCATCTCAGGACTCAATTCCTAGACCCTTTTGCCACTTGTCAAGTTGAGCTTGGACCTCATTCCAATTTGGGGGGTGTCCATATAAAATAAAGCTTAAGAACCACACTTCCACAGTGCATTGGATATCTAAGGTGTTACTTTCAATCCATGAGCCACAATGTCAAGGAATATTATTTGAAACTTTATGAGGCTAGAGTTGTAGCTCAGTGGTAGAGCGCTTGCCTCCTATGGGTGAGGTACTGGGTTCCATCCTCAGCACCACATTAAAATAAAAATAAAGATATTGTTTCCATCTACAACTAAAAAACTACTTTAAAAAAAACTTTATTTCTTCATTAGCAACCTTGGAAAGAGAAATTCACATCAGAACTCAGAGCAAGGCAAATACCCCCAAATATTTGGCTATAGAAGTCATAGCAGAATTTAAACCAAGCCAGACCCACCCTAACTCTGGCCACAGCCTCATCTCTACATCCTGGACCCAATCACATGGGCTGGAAACTGGCTTCACTTCATCCAAGGGCTTAGTTCCAGAGCATTCATGGCTTCCTCAAGTTTGAGCATTCCTAAACCAGAAAGAGCAACAGTGAGATAAGAATGTGAGCGGAGGGAGGGAGGGAGGGAGAGAGAGGGAGGATAACAGCCCTGACTGTTCTCCAAGTCTTTCAGGGTTGTCTTGTGGACTTTCTGAACCAGGCGTTCTGGACCTGAAATTCTAGGGACCCTCCAAAAACTAGGTCCGTTTTCTCACCCTCCAAGAAGTCTAGGGCAGGGGTGGAGTCTGAATTCAGATATGTCAGATAAGAAGACCAGCCTCGCCCCTCAATCTTCAAACTCCCAAAGAACTTCCAGGAACAGCCCAGACGCCCTGGGCGCTCCCGGTGATAACAGAGGTTGTTTGGGGCAGCGAAGAAGCGAGAGGGAAGAAACAAAAAGGACTGCTGGGGGAAAGGGAAAGTGAGGCTCCCCCCCCCCCCGACTTCCCCGCCTCGAGCACTTTGTCACGGCGTCTCTTACCTCGCTCCTGTCGCTGGCGGTGCCACTCAGCCAAGGACTGAAGCATCCATCTGGTCCGGAGCTTCGACAAGTAGGAGCCATAAACCRCGACCTCGGTGAATTCTGAAGATTCCAGAGTCTTCAGCTCGAGCATGGCCTTGCTCACCTGCTCGACGTAAGGGATCCGACATCCGCGCGGGCCTGTTGGGGAAGGAAGTGAGCGCTCCATCCAGGCCSCCGAGACCGCGACGCTGGTGACCGGGCAGCGGGGCCAGGACTGGGCACTCACCGAACAGGGCTTCCAGCAGTCGCGTCGGGACCTGGAACACCTCTGGGTCTTTCAGGTCTTCGGGAACTTTCAGCCAGGGTGGGATATCTCTACGTTCCTCGAGCGCACCCATCTTGAGTCCTTAAAAATCACTCTCCAGCGGAGACGAGTCCTAACAGTGCTGCCCGGAGCCGGGCGCGGGCAGTGTCTCGGCTGGCGGCCCCGCCCCCGGCCTGCGGTCCAATCCCACCCTCAGGCCCTCGGCCCGCCCCGCCCACCTTTTGGCCCCGCGGATTACAAACTCCTGGGCTTGGCACGTGGGTACCATACTCCTCCCGGCTCCCCGACCCAGCTGTCTCCTAGTTAATTAGGGTTTCCACCAGCATTGATCGAGTCTTCTGCGCGGAAATAACCGAAGGCTTGAGCTTGAGTAGGAAGAAGATGCTGTCTACTTTCCCCCCCGCAGAAAACAAAAGGTGGGACATATTCCCAGAAAGTAATGAATGCAGGCTGGACGGTGCAAGGGCTCCCCAAAAACGGCCGAATCAGTTCCTCCTGCCTCTCAGGTTCCAAATGAGGGTCGTTTCCCCTAGTTCCAAAGGAGCTTGTCCCGGTTCTTCACTGTGCAGGTGACTCAGACGACTACCAGGAACTAAGCAATAATTCCTGCCATTTAACGAAGAGGAAATTGGGATTCGGAAATTCATTATCTTACTTGAAGGGACCAGAAGGTGCTCGAAAATACTCCCACAGCCCCATTCTTTGAGGCCTCTGTTACCTGTTCTGGAGCTTTTTGAACTGACTTGTTTCAAAGTTCACTAGGGCCCTACCCGGCCACACAGCCCAAATGGGTGAGGGCTTCCTAAGTTAACTTGATTTACTCGTTTTTATTTTTTTATTTACTTTTGGTATTCGGGATTGAACCAAGGGACATTTCATCACTGAGATACATTACCAGTCCTTTTTTATTTATTTATTAATTTTTATTTATTTATTTATTTTTATTTATTTTGAGACAAGGTCTTGCCTAATAACTTAGGACATCACTAAATTGCTTGCTGAGGCTGACCTTGAACTTCCGATCCTCCTCCTTGGTTGGAATTACAGGCACGCACGCTGCTACTGTAAAAAACGAATAAACAGGTGGTCACAGAAGCTCATGCCTGAAATCCCAGCAGTCTGGTAGGAACTTGTAACACCTCTGGCAACTTTAGGGAGACCCGGTCTCAAAGGATTAAAAGAGCTGGGGATGAAGCTTAGTCTCTAGGTTCCATCCCCAGTACCAGTGGKAAAAGAAAACAGAAAAACAGTAGGTTGTTTTACAGGCCACTGTGTAATCTATCTAGAAAAGGATCATCAACAGCTGAAACTATCAGATGAAAGTTATTGAAGACTAGATATTTAAAAAGATCTGGAAGTCCTAGCCCTCAAATTATGAGTTACAAAGAAGAAAAATCATTCCTTTATAATACCTAGAGAGCACAACCATAACCAAAGTTAACATCATCAGTAATGGGGCAAATGGATGATTGGTCAATGTCATCAAAACAAAAAATCAGAAGACTGCTATTAACAGACTAAAGACAACTAAATGATCTGTATGATTCAAGTAATCTTGAATCGGAACATTTCAGAACAATGAAGAAAATTTGAACATGGACTAAATTGCAAAGTTGTGTTTTATTAATGTTTAGAAATTTCTAGAGTGTWTACAACTTATACAAGATAAAGTCCTTGTTCTCAGGAGACTCATACTGATAAAAAGTAATTTGTTATATCTGCAGTTTATTTGTTTGTTTGTTTGTTTTTAGTACTGGGGATTGAATGCAGGGGTGCTTTACCACTGAGTTACATCCCCAGTGTTTTATTTTTTATTTAAGATGGGGACTCACTAAGTTGCTTAAGGTCTGGCCAAGTTGCTGGGGCTAGCCTCAAAACAGCCTCAAATCCTCCTCCTCAGYCTTCACAGTTGTTGGAATTACAGGCAATAGCCATTGGGCCTGACATATCTGCACTTAAATGACAAATATTAAACCCCCTTTAAAAAAAAAAAAACCTCCAGAATTTTATATGTATAGAGAGAGAGCCAATGTGACAAACATTAACAGTTGGGTCTAGCTGACAATTTTTTTTCTATAGTCTCTCATCTTTTCTGTAATTTTATTAATAAAATTCAGAAGATGAAGTATTATAGTGTGTTGAGTAGCTAATAAAAAGAAACTTTTCCAGGGGAGAAAATGTAATACATCTCTTCAATGAGGACTTCTATTACACTTTCTAAGTTATCTTCATCTCCCATTCCTTTGATTGCAAGTTCAATGTAACATTTTTTTTAAATTTTTAGTTATACATAAGCACAATATCTTTATTTATTTTTATGTGGTGCTGAGGATCAAACACAATGCCTCACATGTGTGAGGCAAGCGCTTTGCCACTGAGCCACAATCCCAGCCCTCAATGTAACATTTTTTAAAGCACATGCAGAGATAACTAGGGGGTAGCTCAGTGGTAGAGTGCTTGCATAGCACATGTAAGGATTGTGYTCTTCACAAGCATGGCGGCAGGTGGGGGATTGTGGGGACGTGGGAAAGCATATTAAAAGGTACTGGAAACTGAAACATAGGAAGCTGCGCCATCTTATCCACCATAGACTCCCTCTCTTCCACGTGGAGTATTTAGGTTGCTGGGAGGCACTTGGAGAGCCTCTGTCGCAGGCCTAAGTGGCTAATCAGTTAAACCCTAGGTAAGCCTAACCAGAGGTGCCAGAGACCTCCAAGACACTCCCATCTCGCCTCTGGGGGTCCTCAAGGGGCCCTTTGAATCCCAGTCTGGGATTCAAAGGCTTCCAGCCACTACAAAGGTAGATGCTGGGCCAAAGAGATCCTGGATAGGATGGCTTAAGCCAACCATCAGGCGGTCAGGCCCTCCARTGTGGGGTGGTCATACATCAGCCTTTGGTCCAGAGCACCAACCAGGAACAACTGCAGAATGCTTCTGCCATGTACAAAATCGTTGCCTTAGAAAAAGTTGTCCTGACAACGCTCATTACACCCCTCGCCATTTCTTCAGGAAAAGGCTGCTGATTCCCCATGCCCAGGTCAGTAGAGACATCTCAGACACCACAAGTGGGTCCTTCTTCTTCCCCTGTCCCTCCACCCGCTGTGCAGTAGAGTTCATCTCCCATCCGTTCCAATTGTCTGGTCAACCGGTACCCAGAAGTGGGTCAAAATCCTGGTGAACTGTGCTCTTGCTCCTAGAAACAAACAAGTAACAAAGCTGAGCTTCCATCAGTCCACTCCACCACTTTGGCTTCCATCTCAAGTCTCCACACGGATCTGGAGAAATTAACTGCTTTCATCAGAACCGTTAAAACTCAATCGCAGCTGGGCGCAGAGACGCATCCCTGTGGATCACTTAAATCCTGSACAACATAGCGGGACCCTGTGTAAAAACAAAACAAAGGGGGAAGTGTGCTGGGGACTGATATCRGCTAAATTGTATTGTTATACTGTATGCATTTGACGAATACATAACACCAAATCTCATCATTATGTACAACTATAATGCACCAATAAAAAAAAATGTGGGGGAGGCAGGCGACGTGTCCCACGCCTGTGTCCCCAGAGGCTGAGGCAGGAGGATGGTGAGTTCAAAGCCAGCCTCAGCAACAGCAAGGCACTAAGCAATTCAGTGAGACCYGGTCTCTAAATAAAATACAGAATAGGCTGGGGATGTGGCTTCCTGGTCGAGTGTTCCCCCAGTCTTTTTTKGGGGGGAGAGGGGACAAAACAGGAGGAGCGCAAATTCACGGCCAGCATGGGCAATTTTAGGAAAACCTGTCTCAAAAATTGTTTTAAAACAGCTGAGGATGTAGCTGAGTGGTGGGGTGCTTGCCTAGCACCCCTGAGGCCCTAGATTCAATGGAGGGGAAGAAAGAGGCAGGGTGAAGAAGGAGAAGAAGACGATCACATCACAGGGAGTGCACATGACTCAATCACGGGAGCGGAAAATCCACGTGTGTCTCCGCTGGGGAATAGGGATCAAAGTAAAGGCAATTTCGCTCCATGGCTCCTGGGAGGCGGCACATGGAAGTTCCCCCTGGGTCTAGCCCCTCKGCAGGGCCGTGAGAGTACAGGAACTGTTGTGTTGAAGATGTTTCCAGGACTCAGAGTTCACCCAGGAAGCAATTACCCTGCGGTTCCCTCAGGCCACCACCTGCAGCACCAGAACCACTAGACCTGCTTCCTGTTGGGCTGTCAATATGGTAGACTGAGCATCMACCAGGTAGTCTTCTACTTTCAAGTCCAGAAGCCAGAGAAATACAATTCCCAGGCCAGACTTGGGAACGGCAGAGACTGGCCTAGGCTGGCCTCAAACTTGTGATCCACCGAGAGTAGCTGGGATTGAGAGTAGCTGGGATTACAGGCTGCGCCACCACACCCGGTATAGACTAGATTGCTTTAAAATAAGATTTATATAGCTATAGCTATTGTTAAACTGTGTGATATTAACAAAAGGATAGACACAGATCGATGGAAAAAAACGAAGAACCCAGAACCAACCCCACAAATATTCCTGATTCTTGATAAAGAWGCAAAAGAAATTCAATAGAGGAGAGAGAGCCTTTTCATTAAATGATATTGGGGCAATGGAACAGCAATAGACAAAAATAAAAAATATTGAACCTCAATGCATATCTCATTCCCTAAACAAAAATTAACTCAGGTTGATCTCATTGCTTAAATGTTAATTGCATTAATTATAAAAGCTTTAGGGTCTAAGAAAAAAATTAGGATTTAGAGCTAACGAAAGAATGAATATATTATATATATATAT